CAGATTGTTCCAAATATTGTTGTATGTTATTTTCCAGAATGTTCTCCTTATTACACAGTTTCTCATAATACTATTTTAATTGGTTTTTTTCCTCTTCCTTCTAATAATGAAGATCTCCTCTTTTTTCTTTAGGGGCATTGACTTAGAAGGAAATACTATAGGATATGCTCCCGTAGGCAGCCTCTGCCATTCAAAGGAATCTGTAGCAATTATTCAGGTTAGTAGAAAGGATACCTGTTACCTATTTGTAAACAAGTGAAAACTTATATACAGGCATAACTTCTTTACACATAAAGCATCTTCTTATTTCTGATCTAAGTCATTTTCATCCATCTTTATTTGAAGATTTGACATTTCCAGATCCTGCCTCAATTGATGGCATTTTGGCACAATGCATTATAGACATGTAGATTGAGCTTTTTGTATGCCATGAGCTATATATCAGAAGGTGACAACATATTATAATGTTTCTGGAAGAGTCTAACTGTGCTCTGATTGGCAAATAAGCAGGTTACAACAGATTACAACACTCCCAAATAATGCTTCTGAACAATATTCTTAGCAATCCTAATGACAAACATGAATCACTCTTATTTTCTTACAAGAAATTTAGGATCTAGATTGCATATGATTTAATTAATGTGCATTGAGAAAATGAGGGGATACTAAATCTACTTTTAAAAAAAACTCCATTATTTTAAGGCCCTACAAGAAAACTATATTAGTTAAGGTGATACTATGCATTTATTGAGAAACAAAAAATTAGTTTTTGTTCACATAGAAAGAATAGAGAGACATGGTAATAAAAAAAACTCATAAAGTTTTTTTTCTTAAGAAGCACAGTTAGGATTCAAGTAGTATGAGGTAATCCTAAACTTGTTTGCTCAAGAAGGTCATTTTTATTCAGAAAGAACAACTCATTCTTAAGCCTGTTTAGGGCTTCAGCCTTCAATATTCTGAGAATATGTTCAGGAATTCAGCCTTCAATATTGTGAAAATACTAACTCGCACAAAAATTGCTGAATATTTTTGGATGGAAGTTGCCTGTTGAGTTTTAATTACTAAATAAATGAAGAGAGCTGTATAATTACTTTATATTGTTCTGTATGTTTTGTGTTTTGTTTGTCTTTGTGGTGTTTTTCTTTCTGTTTTTAAAGATTAAAACATTCAATAAAAATTATTTAAATAAATAAATGAATTCAGAGAGCAAATGGATGGATAGGTTTTGTTCTTCTCCTGTGCTGTAGCTTCCCGGCTTTAAAGTTTTCTTCTGCATGTATTTGTGTATGTTCTGGAGTCTTGGTGGGCATGCATGCATTCAGAAGAGCTAGCTAGATGAATTCTGAGATGGTATCCTCAACTCAAAATTTTTCACTTAGTCACTGTTTTTAGACGATTAGTGTTAATGATAATTGGATTCACTTTCAGTTTCTTGGCAGATTAACAATAAACAAAGTATTCTCTTTTCTTTAGGATCATTCCAAAGATACACGTTTGATGGCAACTACAATGGCCCATGAGTTGGGTCATAATCTGGGCATTGAGCATGACACAAATGTCTGTATTTGCCCTGCTAACAAATGCATTATGGCTCCGGAACTAAAGTAAGCATTGAGGAACACTTTTATGCCTTTCCAAATTAAGTTATTTTTAAATACTTGCAATTAACTGTGAAATTAAATATAGTGAGAACTTACAAAAATGAAATAGTCATGGAGTTATAAAAAAGAAGGTTTGGGTCATTTGTATGTCACTTTACTATGTGTAGTTAAAATGTGTCATATTTAAAAAGGTGGAACTGCTCTCAACAATTGAATAGCAATCATTCAGCAGCTTCCTCCAAAACACAAGAGTTTACAGAAACAGAATAGGAAGCATAGCCCAAGAAACAAAATATCTGTGATGGATAACAGAGGGAAGCAGGTTAGACATTAAAGACTTTCCACAATAGGAAGCAGAATTGGGGGGGGGGGGGATTATTGTGAACCATGCAATAGCAGGAAGAAAGGNCCTCAGCAAGTTGTGGTTATGGTATATTCATTATGTTTATTTGATCCTTAATTGGTCCTTTATCTTGAATGTTCTAGTCTCAATGTCTGCTCACTGTCACTTTAGTCAAACTGGATCTTTTGCAGCAGAGTTAAGAAAGTGACTGTCAGACAGCAAGGAGAGAATGTGCATTCTAGAATTGGCAATTTGGCTTTGCAGTTCTGTATGCTGAAAACATGAATACACTTTACTAGGGAAAGAAGCAAGTAATACACCCTCACACATGCAGATCTTAGCAAAAGGTTCTTCCTATGTAATTTAGGCATTCTAGTAATGAATGCAATAAAATGCAGGAGGGAAGAGCTCTTTCCCAGGAAAATAAACAGCAGATTAGCAATGAGTCCTGGGATTGCAAAAAGAAGCTCAGAAAGGATCCTCCCTAAAACTTTCACAGGATGTATCCAATGGTTACAAAGAGTGTACTTAGTCTGGCAAAATTCCTGTGTATAGGAGAGCAGCAATAAAGAAACTACTCTGAGCAATTAACCATTTTGTGATTGTTGCTTGCACCTGAGAAGTCGAAAACAATACTCGAGTAATCATTTTAAAATTACATCAAAAGAAAGATATAAATCTTTGAATAGAGTGAATTCAGTGAGTCAGAATATCATATATTCTCCCCTTATCTTGTCATTGATGCATAATGTGATATCATTGCAGGCAGGGTCTAATTGGTTACATAGCAGGACCACATCATCATATTTCTCATATGATTGGTTGAAATCCTTTGTTTGAGAAAGGGGAGGAAAAGTGAGAAAGTCATTGGAGCATCGTTTTGACAGGCTGAAAAATAGGTCAAAGAAAGCCATTTCTTCAATTGCTTATTTTTATTCCTATTAAATCCTGTTCAGAACTAGGTATTCATATATAAATTTATCTTTAAGTGTTGGATCATAAATTCCAAAAACAAATTAATTGGAAACAAGTGCCACACCATATTAATACAAAGAAAGTGATTCATGTCATGACAATTTTTTAAAAGGTGATAACTTACTGTATGTTTCTTCTTGAATATCTATTGCATACTGTACTTTTTCCTCAAAAATTTATCAGCATATTCTCTAACTCAGAGTTCCACAATCTTTCCAGCTTTGCGGACTGGCAGGAGGGAGAAGGGATTGTTCCCCATGATCAGCTGGATTATGTGTGCGCCCAGGTCCATTTGTGTGAGCAGTGGGCGCAAAAACCCACTTGGGCAAATGGAGCATGCCCATCCATGCTTTCTTGCTGCCCATGCAAGTGGAGATGCCCATGCTCATGCCAATGCTCACCCACCACTTCCACGTAGTGGGCTATGGCCCAGGGGTTGGGGAACCCCACTCTAAGGGCTAAAATTTAAACAATCTGTCTCCCTATAAATGTCTTCCTCAAAGAGCCAATATTTCTGAAAGGCCCAGTATTTTAACCAAATTGTATAACAAGCAGTTTTCTGATTATCTGATGATGACCAAGATTTGTGTTGGCTGCTGGGAGCAACATGTCTAAACAGCCTTTTGCTTATTTTTTTTTTTTTTTTTAGCAAGACAGATACTGGCAGGCCAAAAAATATATTGAGTTTTTCGTAGCTGTGGACAACAGAATGGTAAGTATCTGGGATATCATTCCCATTAATTTCTGCCTTTTTTTAATGTGGACATTTTTGAAAACATTAACAAACATCCAAACTGGATT